TAAGAGGACACAGATTTATTTTTAATGTCCTATGGACATCTGTCCACGGTATAGTATATTTCTTTACTACATTTCTGTCATAGAAATTTTTTGCTGTTACATTTAGCAGCAATGAATAGTCACAGCAGTTGTTTTACTATGCATTAAACTATCTGTCATATATGAAAGCTGGTAATTTATCTACCTGAACCAAAGAATTGCTTGGCTCTCTGCACAGATGTGCATGCAAAATAAGCTATCATCACTTAGCAAGCTGGTTCTCCTACCAGAAGGGGAGTAGTCTTTTGCCAAAACAGAAATGAAACTGAAATTGATAACATTACATTTCTTTGGTCTTAAATTATATTAGCAGAAGTACCTACTGGTTTATTTGAAGAAGTTTTTTATTTGAAGCCCACAAAGATCATCTATTTGAATATGTATTTTGGGTACAACAAGGTGATTCATTATGAAAACACTGAGATTTCACACAGAAGCCACTTCTAGTTGAACATAATGCTTTTTTTTCTGCCCAATTTCCTAGTAACAAGAACAGCAATATTTTTGTCTACACATACAGTTCTAAACAGTTCATCAAAATGCAAGGAGCAGGTGCAGTACCTCGTGGCATCTTTTTTTCAGGAGATATAAATAGTTCTCTGAAATGATGAAACTTCTCTCATCAGCCTGCTATCTACTGCTTATGACTGCTTTCATTTCCAAAGCATTACTTCCTGCCCTAGTCTAAAGAATCTTGTTAGTTTAAAAAAAAAAAAACACCTACAGAAAGCATGGGGTGCTTAATACTACTGGTATATGCTACTAAAGTGACTAGTAAGATAGGGATAGAATGAGAGACTCTTTACGCAATAATGAACTCTTTACTTAAAAATGTATCTCTTCTCAAACTGTACTTTTATCATACTAGACATAGATCAATAAACAACATCCTTATTCTCTGTGTCTTCGGTATCCTACAGAGGTAAATCTGTTTTTGAATGTACGGTTTGAATTTGTAGCTGTGGTACCGTCATCAAAGTGGCGTCATTTTCCAGTCCATGGAAATCAATTAAGCTGGTTACTGTGGTTTGTAGTGAGCTGATTTTGGTGCTTTGGTTTGGTCACCTCCCTCCTCAATTTAATTTTAATGAGTGAAAATACAGTTCTCCCTTCTTGTTGTATGTCCATCTTAGTTCGATTATAAGATAGTTTCACAAACCCAGGAACTCTGGTTGGAGGGACTGCAAAAACCTAAACCACCATCTTCATTCTCTCAGTTTACATCACCTTCTTCCTAAATCAGATCTCCTAAAGATCAGGTTGTACCCTTCCATGTGATCTAGAACAGGAACTTCTTTTCTTTTGACAATCACAGAATCTGAATCAGTTTTTACAAACCACAGAGTACTTTCTGTGTGTAATTTTTTTAATCCATCCAACAGACAAATATCAAATTTCATAAGGAGAAAGAGATTTGACTAGGAATACATTTTGATCTGATTTATACGAGAGTGCTTGAAGAATTATTAGAGAAGTTTAAAGTGGCTTGATGTAAATCTGTACTGAAAAGTACTGACAGCTGGACTGCATTTTCAGGGGTTTTTTTAATCACTGAATTTGACTTCAACTGCACTATTGCCTTTGATCAACAGTATTCAACACCAAATTTCTCAGAATATGTCATTTAAATTTTAACATAATAAGACTGACAAGTCTGAAGGAATTCTTTAACAGAATATCTTAAATTTGACTTTTTGTGAGAATGAAAATTACTTATATGGAAATGACAGGTAATAAATGACTTCTGCTGTATTTTTATTAGGTTTTAAACAGCTGTAATATATTACAGGCTTAAAAAAAGTATTTCTTAAAACTAAAGAGTAGGTCCATTCACATTGTTAGAAGTGCACTGTTATCACACTTGGGTGTATGTGATGACGTGGAAAAAAAAGTATTTTGAGAGTAACTGGCAACAGAACAGATAAACAAAAAGCAATTTAGGAAAACTGAAGAAATATGTCTAAATATCGCTTAACTAGTAACCACTAATGACTCTCTTTATTTTTAGATATTTCTTAGTTCCTCCTTTCCACCAGTTTTCAAGGAGCTGATCACAGACATGCAAAAACCCATTTCCAATACTTTGCACGGTTTTTTTTTCAGAGATGTTTCCTAGACAGGTTTTAATTATTTTTTTTTTCATTCTTGATAACAAATCAGCATTATTCACTTGATAATCATTTATACATGATTTTAAAAATATTTTGAAGATAAATAGTAAAATAAAATAGACTTTTAAGTCATCAAATCTATGAAATGTTAATTTAGTTTTCCAATGCTGTGTAAGAAATGAGTGTCTTGTCTTTCAAAGTCTGTCAGATACAAAGTTTGAGTGGCACAAGTCTACTTATAAAAACAATACGCAGAGGCTTTAAAAAAAACAAAATCTGAAGGCAGACATCAGTATTGCCTTTCTAATTACAGTCATTGGTGGTATGACATTATAATAATGCCACACATTTATTTGCCTCATTTTTGTGTTTGTTCTGACAGCTAGTTGCATGGTTTTCTTTTTTGTTAGTCAGCAGAGATAAGACAAATTGCTTTACATCTCTTAATGATTCTGCATTAATACTGAACTAGAAATACCCTCTGCAATTTTACAATTTAGTCTTCTGATATAGTCAACAATCTTGTAAGATGAGACTATTGAAACTTTATCAAACTTAACTTATTCTCGTCATTTTTTAATTATTTTTTTCGTCATAACTTACAGTGCTTTCAAAACTTACTTTCTGATGTTTTGCTATACTTATCTCCATGATTTCATTGCAAATATGAAGGGTTTCATTGCCAGTCATGTTGGGAAGGGTCTTATCCAACTTCCCATTTCCAACTTCACATCAGAAAGAACTGATAAAGAGCAATTAAAGGGTGAGGGGAAAAGCCCATCAGTTTTAATTTGATCTTTTTAATGGAAACTATTGAATGATTGGGTTTATGTACCTTGGTCTGTGATAGTCACTAAAACAGAGCTAGTTTCTCCAGTCACACTTGATTCATTATTAGTAATTGAGGATTGGGAGAAAGTGGTATCTTCTAGACCTTTTGAGATTATCCTAGAATAAACAAGGTAATGACTTATCTAAACCAGTGGAAAGAATCAGGCTAACGTATCAACTAAGGACTGAAAAGAGGGCCCTAGAGATGCTTTGGGAATGTAATCTAAGGATGTCTTATTGAAAGAGAAAGAAGCAATAAGACTCTTTTTGTTTGTATGTGTTTGGTGTGTCTGTTTTGTTTAACTTTCTTTTTCTAGCTTAGGGCCAGAACACAAAAACCTATAAGCATTTAGAGATCAGCAGTACAAAGATTCTTGCTACAGAAAATCTTAGAAAATCCCCTTTTATAAGAAAGAAAGGGACAGAGTCTTTGGCAGATCCTGTTGTGATAGGACAAGAGGAAATGGTTTTAAACTAAAAGAGGGTAGATGTTGACCAGATAAAAGGAAAAAAATTATTGCAGTAAGGGTATTGAAGAACTGGAAGGTCTGCATAGAAAGGGGATTGATGCTTCATCCCTAGAGACATACCAGATTAGGCTGGATGCCCTTAGATTGCTCGTAGCAATATGATTGAGCTGTTGATGTTCCTGTCCATTGCAGGGGAGTTGGTCAAGACAACTTTTAAGGGTCCTTTTCAACTCAAATTATTCTATGATTAATAAAGTCTGAATCAGAAGCTGAAATTTATCTGGAACAGTAAGGCTGGGGAGAGACTGCTCTAACTTTCAGAATAAAATTATGTTAGAGAAATATAGAGGGAACTGCATAGAAAGAGTTTAAGTTCTAGTTGTAATGAGACAAGCTGAATACGTTGTTTTTTGCAGTTCTTGAATAATGTAAAATAACAGTTATACATACATTATTTTCATGTTTTGTAGGAAGTTCTTCGAAAATATCAATGTGCAGCTATGACCTATCTACTAAATTCATGCAACAAGTAATATATGTGTAAATTTAATACTCTAAGATTGTATAGTTTCTTTTTCCTAGAATTCTTGATCCTTTTCAGTCCTGTTGCAAATATTAGAGGATTCAATAGAGTTGCAAAAGAAAATATTAATGATAGAAAATCTACCAAGATCCCTGCTAATCATTACCTTACAGCATTTTATCTTTTTTTTTCACAGAAGAAATTGTTGACTCTTAGAAAAAAAGTTGCTGTGGTGACAAATTATAAGCAGAGAACACTGTACTTTTCCCAGTAGAAGACACTGAAGAAGATTGTTTTTTTTCTGAAAGAACATTTTGTTCTAGATTGAATCTACATCTAAACTTATAGATTGTCATTGCCTTATAATTTTTTTTTCCACTGATTTCTCTAAGTTAGTAATTCCAAGGAGAAATGCAAAGGTATAATAATAAATACCTAGTTGTCCCAAAAGTGAAAGAATCAGGTGCTAGAAATTCATTGTTATTTAAACTTGATATTTAAACATTGATATTTAAGCTTGCATTGTTTTTCATTTTACATTATATGGCTGTTACAAATATAATACATCCAATTTCTGGCTTTATTTTGATTTATTATTATCTGTATTACTCTTTCATTTTTGAGAATTTCTTTGAGAGTACCCTCAGCATCTGCCCACACTGAGTGGCTTAAATAACTACTGCTCAGTTTCATTTCAGATCCTTTCACAGTGCACTACCACATTCCCCACAGATACCACTGTTTCAATTCCCTCTCTATCAGGATTGCTGAGACAGAATGAAATAAGTCACAGCAGTGACTTTAGGATTTGCTGCTTCTACATTCTACTTGATAATTTCTTTCTTCCCAAAGTCCTAACTTTGTTTTTAAATACTCAGAACAATGAAGAAAACTTCTTTAAAAAAATAAATGAAAACTTGAAGTCTGAACTAGCTTTTGGGCAGGTGAAGTAAGTTTCAGTGCTTTGTGCTATTGTGTATTTGTACCAGCTTTACACTCTGCTGATTCCACTTTTGGAATTTTAACAGCTCCTTTGGAAAGGCCTGCATGCATTTTTTCCCTTGGTGAATACAGGTAGGTTCATTAATCTGTTGGGTTTTTTTGTTTGTTTTTTTGGTTTTTTTTCCTCACCTGTTCCCTCATCTTTCATTTCCCACATCAGTAACAGCAAGATGTTGCCCCCAGTGAGCTCTTCCTATGTTTGTCCTGTGCGCATGCTGAAATTCTCCATATAACTACAAACATTCCACTCCTTTTTGAACACATTCTAATTTACTGCTGTATTGAGAGAATTCTTACTGCTTGGAGAAGTGCAGGGTTCAAAATCCCTTTCATTGTTATCACACTACGCCTAAGATCAGATCAACAGGATATTGTCTGCTGTAGCAGAAAACTCGGAATTTGTCAAAACATTTCTGATAGAGCAGATTAGGATTTTGTCACAACCTTTAATTTTGCTGTTATTTTTCTGTAGCATATAAAGTAATGTTGTGAGTTTCTTTGTCAACCAGACAACTATCTAATGTTCACACACATCTTTGTTTGGAATTACTCAACACACCCTAGCATAATAACACATAGGGACCCTTTTAAGTATTACAGATCTGTACTGAAATACTGATGTGGAACTACTACAAATTGAAAAACATAAGCACCCTTTTTCCTTCCTCACAGAGGACAGTGTTGATATTCAGGCTTTCACCTTCATCAACAGTTATGAGAAATTTTCAGAAAAGTAATACTTCTTCCTACAACTGTCATTCTGAACAGTTATAGCAGCTAAAAATATGAATGCAATTGAAAGGCTCCTTATTTTTTCTCTCCCCATCCTTTTTTCTTCTCTCGCTCACCATGTTTAATCTCTTCCTTTCCTTCTCCAATCTGTTACAAGCATATTTGATAATTCATTAAAGTTAGAAACATTACAACTTTTCATCTCAAGCTCATAAACAAAGTCAGCTTTAGAAGCATATAGATAGGATTTAATATTGCTTACTAAGTTACCTTTTCTCAATTCAAGGATTTATTCTGGATTTGTTAGACTACTTCTTCCAAAAACGTAAGGTAAATTCCAGTTACATTTTCTGTGTGGACAGTGAGTTACAGATGGAGTGCTGAATTAATACTTTCCTCTGTAATCAAATCTTGACTCTATTTGCACAGTCAATGAAAACTGAAAAAGTCATTTAGAATCAACAGCAACTTTCTTTAGAAACTGCATAATAAATATAGCACTGTGATATTTCTCTACTTCTATTGAACATAAACAAAACACTCCACTTCAGAAGTAGGTTAAAACAGAAGCACATAAATACCCTGGTGTGCCTATTGTCCCCAAAGAATGGAGCGTGTCATGTCCTCTTCTGTATAATTCTACTCTTACCACCGTGTGACATGAATACCTACAGGACAACTTTCCCTTTGGTTTTCCTCTCCCTCCGTACTGTCTTGGATTATACCATTGATTCCTTCTGACTTTTATAGAGGACAGAATTTCTCCCTTTAATAGATCTTTTTTTTCCCAATCCCCATCTTTTTCTCTGACCACCTTATTTAAGACAGAGGAAAGAAAGATTTATTTTTTTTCCCTGCAAGCAAGAAGAATGGTATTTTTACCAAGAAATCATGGTCTCTGAAAGATGAGAGTCCAGTGAGTCCCTAAATCTTCTAGTTATCTGTATTTGTTATACAGCCTTTTGTCTTGTAGTAAGAGATTTCTCTGAAGCCAAAAAGAATACTTTCTAACTATGCTTTTATTCTCTGAGAAGAGCTACATCTCCTGGTGACTTTCTTAATTTTTTAATGTTTTATAGAATAAATTCAATTTATTCAGTTATAATTCATATTCTTATCTAAATCTGAAGTGGGTAAACAATCTGGAATCTGTACTGCTGATAGTTAGGTGCACAGATCTGCTTGCTCATGAAAATCTGTAGATGCAGAGCCCAATATCGTCTGCAGCTAGCTTCTAATAAGTAAGTGTAGATTACATACTCTACATCTACAAACTGTATTTGGGAACAGTGTCTTTTTTCCTTAGAGAGAAGCTACTGCATTTTTGTTCTTGAGGATATTAAAGGTCTCTAATGATCTTTCAAAAATAATATAGGGCAGCTAATTATCTCCTGGAAGTGGTCTCATTTCTGCTTTGTTGAAGTACGTGGCATTATTACTAGTGAGAAGACAAGGAAAAAATATCTCAGATGTTGGCCATGAGAAATGCATATTTAGTAGTGGTTTTTCAGTCAACTATTTTGATCATATAAAAAAAAAAAATTCTCTGCAGGAAAGTGACTTATTACAGAAGAGGAAACAACCCTTTTTAGTATCCTAGTAATCAGGAGAGATCTTGTATTCTGCATGTTACTACTGAATCCTGTATACTTAAAACAACAACAACAACAACAAAAAAAAAGAGTTGGGGATGGATGGATGGATTTGAAATCCAGAGAAGGGAAAGGAGATAGATGAATGAAACTCATTTACCTTGTCTCTTACCTACTGTGAATAACTTTGTTTTTAAAAGAGACGATCTGCCATTACCCTGCTCTACCCTGAAATCGCACTCAAACTCTGTCAAATGAATTAATTCAATACAAGCTAAATTAAAATAGACCCTTCCATAGCTTCAGCTAGCAGAAACCCATCAAGTAGCATATTAACTACCTTTATTAAGAATGAGTTCTGCACTTTCTGACTCTGTGTCTCGTTTAATTTGTTGTCTTTAGCAGCAGTGCGTTTCCTGAGGAAAATATTTGAGCAAAAATGCACAAGAGAGCTGACCTGTACTCTAGTTATTTTACAAACACATGAGAATTTAACAAGAAGAATACAGTCAGTGAAGTCCTCTGGAGGTTACTCAAAGTTGAGTGCTGCTATACAATATCTTTTAGAGTATCACCAAACAACCAGTACATGGTGCACATAAAATGAAGACAAATTTTTCTTCACTTTCTTTGCCATTTTTCATTGATAGGGTCTTTAGGAAAAGACAGTGAGAGAAAGTGAGAAGACAGTTTTCCTGACAGATAAGAATTAAGGTAAGCACCACCAAGAAGTCATTTTTTGTTCTACTCTTTTAGTAAACTTGTTTGCTTTAGTAATAAAACTTTTGGATTCTGTCCTTTCACAAACGTTGACTGTAGCATCAGATATAAAATTATTTATGATGCTTTTTTCTTTAAAACAAAAGCTGACATATTTTTTCACTGGCAGCACGGAGCCTGAATAAACCAAACTATATTCTGTATGTGACAACAGTAGCTAATATTACTGCCATGCTGAAATTTGCCTACCTGTTATCTGATATTAACATTTGATAATACCAGATAATTATATAACCAGAATTGTGTATTGCCTAATGAGTAAATTTGTGTTACTATTACTAAAATGTTACTACTATTACATAAAATAACAACATGAGTTTTTTAGCCCTCAGTGTTAGGAAAAGAAGCAATACTAATAATCCAACTACCAGGGACCAACATTTATTTTTTATTCTTTTCCTTTTCCTCTAACAAAATCTCATTATAACAAGTTTGAGCTCTGTACTGCTTTTAAAGATGCTATCCTGAATACACCCCAATTTATCTTCTAAAACTGGCTAATTTACATTTGTATGCTAGATGCAGAAACAGACTTCACAAAATACACACACCCAAGAACAGGGTAAAAAGTGCTTAATCTTACATGCATTATTTATGGTCTTCATTTGGCTTTTAATCTATGGAGATTCTGTGAATTGTTGTGGACTGATATCTCTGGAGCATCTAGTTTGCTCTACATGCAGAAAACAGAAGAGGTGCAGAGCAGCAGTGTACTGGGAGAGGAATGTTGTATGCTTTTCAAGATCAAGGGAGAAATTAGGAATATGATGAAGCATTCAACCTCTGATAACAAGAGACAAATTTGCTCCAAATCAAATGAAAATTTCTCAGCAAGAAGAGAGTCTTTCTGTATAAATATATATTATTATAGATTAGAGGCCTGATTACCTCAGTCTTTCCAGAGAGTCCAAGGCACTTAGGGTGTGATCTTGAAGATGACCTCTTGTGGTTTGTGTTTTTGCAGCACCTACTTAGTAATAAGGCTTGATGTGTTGTTTTCATTGGGCTGAGTTGCTCTGGGTTTTATTCCATTTCAATTGTTACATGTCACAAAGCCACAACTTTTTTTTTTTTCCCACACCAAACATATCTGTTCTCAGTCAACTATGCCCTCAGCAAAGCTGTCTTGTAATTAAGCTACTAAATTACCCTAAAGACTACTTGAAAATCCTAAATAATAAGTATGCCCTTTATTTAACAAAATTAAAAATAAAAGTAAATTACTTCCCCTCAAAATCACATCTTTTTTTGAAGCTAGCCTTAAATGTTGTTTAGATGTAAGGAAATGAAATGGAAAACTCGGAAATCTTTTTTACTAAATCTGGCAGTCTTCCAAATGTAAAGCCCAAAGCCAAATATTCATTTTAGCCATATTTTGTTTGGAAAAGATTCTTTGAGGAAATTAGCTTGGTTTAATTCTGGAACTCTTTAATAATGTATGGTTGCTGAAGTTGATTAGAATAAATATTGTGTATTTGAAACATGCTAGACTTGTCTGTATAAACATGCATGCAGTTAGCATACACTTAAAGATAGAGTCAAGTAACTGCAGTACCAAGAAACTGTAACAACCATTCAGACTCCAGTATTAATTTAAAGCATTCATTTTGTCCTATTATTCTTCATCGTGATTATGTGAACTTTTTTTTCGTACTTCTGAGAAATTCAGTCAACATTTATCTAAAATCATCAAAATGCATGTCCAAAAATTGAATTAAAGAAGATAAAAGTCTAAAAGCAAAACTACCTTCTATCATCATGGCAGATAATCAGATCTCCTTGATTTCCACTATCACTTGGCAAATTTGTCTGCCCAAGGAATGCATACTGAGGCAGTTTCCAAAGATGTGTACAGTGATGGCTTTGTTTTTTGTTTTTCCTTCCTTAAACTGTTCTCATATTAAGCCATGCAAGTTATTTTTTTTTCCTCCTCCATCTCATTTTCCCCCCATGACCCTCAACCTTGTCCAACTGAACAGTGTGAATGCAGTGGCACGGCACTTAGCTGTCTGTTGGTGTAAAGCCACAACTTGAGGTCAGTCACTTCTGCACAAGACTGAGTCAAACTCTGTCCCCCTCTTTTGAAACTTAAACAGTAAAATGAAGATGACAATTTGAATGCCAGTTACTCCTACCTGGCAATTGATATCCAGGTCCAAAAGAAGTCTGAAAGGGAGATCTCTCTATTTTCTTTTTCCCTTTATTTGCCGTAACATTTTTGGATTGGAATATTTATCAGTAGCTGTTACAAACAGCCTACAGTCAGAGCTGGACAGCTGAAGCCCTGGCAAATGCTGTTTCAGTTCCCTGAACAATAGGAGGTGGCTGTCTAGTACACACAGTACATTCTGCAAGATTTTTGTGCCTGGTTCATTCTGAGGATTGCTAATCTAACTCTTCCAGTGCTCTCATCATCACATTGGCCAGCCGTGATCACTACTTCTGTGGAAATTAATAATTGCTGTCTAAGTAAAATGGATGCAACTTTCTTATATTCAAGAATATGAAACAGGAAAGGCAAATTCAGTAATGTGCTCCAGTAGGTAGAGAGTCCAGTGTTCATTTGAATGTTATACTCAAACTTTAGTTATTAAGGTTCCGTTTTATTAGGGGGGTTGTGCCTCTGTGTATATATGCTTATGAATAAAATGCAGTGCAAATAAAAACTACTTAAACGTCCTTTTGAACATGTGAATACGCTGAACATATTGGTTTAAAACACTTTTCTATAGTGGCATAGCAGTATTTTAAGGAAGTCCATTTTTGCAGGAAACAAATTCAGCTGAGAATACCATAAAACCAGTAATGCTATCAGGACAAAATAGGGCTCTTATCTCAAAGGGGTTGATTGATTGATAGTCATTTCATGGAAACAGTTATTTTTAGAAATTCAAATTAGTTTCCATTAATGCTACTGCTTTTAATTATAAAAACATAGATTTATTGAAATTGAAAGTGAGACTTAATAAGATGAATATTAAAACTCAGAAATAGTTTGAAAAATTCAATTTGGCTTCAACATTTTATGTTTTTCAGATATGAATAGATTATTCCCTTTGAAATTCAGGGTAATGTTTTTACTAAAAATAGCTTATACTTCTAAATAACCAAGTCTGAAATATCAGGTGTTTGATTTTTGTTGAAGGAAATGTGTTGACAGATATTTTGCTAACCTACAGAATTCAAAGTGAAAAGAAATTTCACAACAGACATTAATATATAAAGATCAGAAATATTTCCCAAAAAAATCTTTTTTGCTTGTAAAGCTCATGTAAGACAAAAATAAATAAATAAATAAAATTAAAAACTGGATTTGTTTATTTACTTACATCTCTAATTTTTTCACAGGCCACATGTGATAATGAAGTTTGTCACTACATTCAACAACATCTGGTATTGGACAAACCAAATAAAAAATAATTGGTAAAGTACTTTTTATGCAATTGCAAGTGTCAAGGTATTACAGGAAAGGGAGATGCTATTGAATTACTTTGCTTGGATTTCGGAAAGTTACTTGATAAGCAAATGTTTCTAAAGAAGGTGAACTGCTGCAAGATAATATTTATGATGATGATGATGATTATTATTATTATTATTTTATTTTGTCATGGAGAAAAAATATTTTGAAGGTAAGAAGTGGTAAATTTTCAGTACATGTACAGTAATTTAATAGAAATAGATTTTAGATAGGCTAGTTTAAATGCCCTTTTTTTCACAGCACTAGTCTAGAAACTGGGCCAAGCCATAGGTGAAATTGTTTCAGAGTTTAGTTATATTTTATATCATCTTTGCAGCAAAATTTAGCTAGGGAAGTTTGTACTTCCTTTTGTCTTCTTTTCAAGCTTCATTGTCTACTTCCTGACTTATCATTATTTTAGTACTTATTATTATTATTATTATTATTATTATTATTTTTAGCTAAGACTTCACACAAGCTGGGTATATTACACATATCTATCTAATACTTAATTGCTAGAGACCCAGTTAAAAATCACTCTCTGTGCCACATTAAAATATAAAAATAGCTGAATACTGTAAGGGAAACAGAAGATAATGATCCAAGACAGCTAGTAGCTATCTGCAAGCCAATAGTGAAGATCTTGTATTTGTAACAAAGAAAACAACAATAAATACGAGCTGGACTTGATTTCAATTTTTATCCTAATGTTGGTAAGTTGATAACTAGTGTGGCATGCAATTCTTTTTTTTTTTTAAACACTTCCCAATATCTAAGCTTGCAGCACACTAGTGGCTCCTGAATTCTGTTTCTTCAGCAACAAACCTTATGTCTGCAGTAATCAGACCCACGATACAGAGAAATGCAGACAAATTGACGCAATAAAGATCAGAGTTCAGTCACACTGAAGCAACTTGAGGAACCACAAGTTTATGCGTAAATATTACTTTGACACCTTGAAAAGGTGTTAATCAAACACAGAGTGCCATTGTTATAGCTACTTTATATGAACAGTCTGTTTTTATTGCTGAATTCTTGTGGTCTGTGCTGTTAATGAGATACTGCAGATAAGAGTAAATATAGAGAAAGTGCAAGGTAAGCAGATTCGAGCTGTTAGGCATTTATGGTCATATGAAAATGCAAATTAGGTAGGTTCAGTGCTCTAGTGGCAAGAAATGTTGGAAACAAGATCAACTAAATGGGGAATTACAAACGGCAAAGGTTAGGTAGTGCATTGTACTTGGAGAAATACCAGTAAATGAAGAGTAGGCTTTTATCAAATGAATCAGCAGTCGTCACAGTGGCTGGACGCAGTGAGAAAAGGACTTACAGGCTAGCAAACAAAGACAGCAAGCATAGGCAGTGTGTGAAACTATTTAAGGAAAGTGAAAAGTGTGTAGTAGGTGTGAAGAGCAGTTTATTTTAGGAACAGAGAAGGTGAGAAATTTCATTTAGCAAATGCTGAGAAGAATCTTGTGCTGTCACGCAATGAGCACTTTATAGTCATAAACTTTTATTTATAAAAATATTTGTATGCAGTGCACCAGGCATACTTATAATCTTGTTCTTTATCACATGTAAAAATATAGTTGATATCTACCAGCTTCTTAGAAAAGGGAGAAGCAATTAGACTTCGGTGTTGTAGAAATTCTATTTATATAGGCTTGTATATTAAAAATCTATTTACAATGTAACTTCTTTGTATGTTGATCTTCCTTCATATGTAGACAATCTTCATGAAAGAGTTCAGGTTGAATCATCTACATTTTAACAATAACCTCAAATTGTCTTTTTTTTTTTTCTGCTTTAAGCAATTGTATCTATTAAATACTGGATGTGGATAGAGATATGGAAAAGCAGTTATAGGAGTGCATTAACTTCTCCTTTTTATTCCCAACACAAGTCCTTGTGTATAAAAAAATAACAGTAATCATAGCTCAACTGGAGTATCATAAATTTTCTGGCAAAACAGTTGGGAAGGATGCACACCAGATTTTAATGAAAAATGATATACCAACAGCAATTTCTCTTCTATAATGAAGGAACTTCAATTTCCATTGATCTCATCTGTAGATGTATCACATAAGAATCGTGCAAGTAACAAGATTTAAAGCATTAAGCTTAAGTTGACATCTTCTCTCTTAAATTTAGCTGTAACTTGTCACCCTATTTATACACTTCACAAAGCACTAGGCAGCTTCGCATGAGACTATTCCCAGCAGGAGATCATAGAAAACCCCATCTTCCAAAACACTCTATCTTACTCAAAGATGAAAGCAAGCAAACAAACAAAAAAAATATAACGTTTAAAAATGATTTTAGGTATACTTTCTTCTTTAAAATTCTTCATTTTTTTCTAGTTCAGTGGTGAAATTCACACAAATTATGGTAATTCTTTCTCAGTTCCTCATCACATAGAGCGATTCTATTCCGCTTGTTAGTTTTCTTTTGAGCCCTATTTTCTGTGAAATACAGTAAAATCTGTAATGAGATACATACTCTGAGGTGCTGTGTGATGGTCAAGGAAAAAAAAAACAAACAATAGTGCACAGAGGAATAAAAGATTCTGGTCTGACTAGTAAGTATTTCAAAGATTGCTACTCATATTCCATTTGTAATTGATAATTGAAAGGAGCAATGTTGAAACCTTCCTTGTTAATCGAAGAGTTAGAAGGCAAGAATTGCTGTCAATTCAAAAAACAAGTAAATCCCTTACCGCCTCTAGCAATGTGCAGAAATACTGAACATGCTGGATAAGAGTGAAACAGCACTATACAGTAAAGAAACATGGATTAGCTGGAAAATGAGCTTTGAAAATGATTAAGGCGAATCACAAAAACTCAAGATGTATATACTACATAATATAATACAAATACAAGCTTACTAACCCAGAGACCCCTGAAAACTGTATGACTTCTTTGTAGTTGCAAATGTCAGAGATAACATAAGAAAACATTTCTCCTCTCCTTATCCCTTCCCACTGATGAAGGCTGAACTTTAAGCTCTCATTAAACTTCAACCAAAAATATTCTGTTTTTGTTATGCATTTGTAAAATGACTGGGCCTATGTGCTCTTTCATTACATGTGACCATTGAATGAAATGTGTGTTTAAGTATAAAAAAAATTACTCTTTGTCATGTCAAATGCTAACCTTAACTGTCCAACTATTTCCATAAGTATAGAGCCAAAAACTGCCTATAACAGCACACAGGAGTTGGTGAATTAATCTAACCTGATGAAGTGTGTCACCTCAGTGCATAAATCAGCTGGAATTATATCACTGATATGGAAGGAGTATGTGGAGAAAAATAAATGAGCCACAGCTGAGAGAAGCCTACTAATGGGTAGGTAGGGCCTTAAGTAACTGTGAGCAGCTGGTGGGAGTCAATTTTGGCTGTTTGATTTCCTGGTGATTCTGGGGTATGTATTTTTTTATTAAAAAGAAATAGTTGTATATACAGCTGAATAATAGAACCATTATTGTTTTTGTCCTTGTATCACTTGATGTAATGCATAGTGTATAATTTTGTAATTCCTTGTCATGGTTTTATGATTTTTGGTTATCAGTATTCCACACCATAACATCATGTAATGCAAATATTTTTGTATTTTGAGTAACAATTATCATGACATAAATTGCTACTTAACGTGTTTTGACATTATTATAAAAAAACTATATAATGCAAACCATCAGTGTTATTTTTTTAATTGCTAAAATATTTATGTACAACTTACTTTAATAACTCAAGTAATTTATATATATATTTGACTAATTCAGAACCCTAATATTTTTCTGTTCCCTATAGAAAGAAAGAATGGATGGCAGAAATTGCCAATCAGTTCTAAAGCTTTAAATGGTTAATACCTTCCAGCAAATGTACTGTACTACCAAAGCTAATTAGGATACTTTTTGCCATAATTATATGTTTATTAGTAAAAAGTCATTACTGCTAACTATTATGTTAAGAATAAATGACCACACAAAATATGAAGTGATGTAATAACTTTAAAATTTTAAACTATTATAATCTCCACAGACAAAATTTGATACTTTCTCTATGGCTCACAGCAGGTTTAATGGATAGCAAGAGAGTGCAGTAAAGTGTGAACCAAAACATTAAGTACAAACAAAGAGAGATTTCTTCTCAGCCACTGTCATTTCAAGCTTTTAAAGTGGCAGAGGATGTTAGATTCCTAACGCATATAATAATGTGTCTGTTGTAGCTTCCACTGAAACAACTCACAGGCATTGCTTTTGGAACAACCTACGTATTTAATGAGTTACAAAGTGGAGCTGAGACCTTTGAGCCTGATTTTTCTCTCAGCTCCAACAGGTAAAAAATTGTCCTTACAGCATTAGGGTCTGCACTGAAGAGCTGAAAACAAGGCTCATGGGGAACTGCTGGCTGAAATACAAGGTTGTGGCTTTAAAAGGAGAAGTGAATGTATCAAGATGAAACCCTTTGTGTGGAGGTGAAAAAGGCAGGTGTGGTGCATTGACTTTGGCCAGCTGACAACACTGCTGTCCCCCTCCTCATGAAATCAGTGGGGAAAAAAATAAATAAATAAAAGCCGAGGTAAACGTAGGAAGATCACTTACCCATAGCCATAGTGGCCAAAACAGGCCATGCTGCCTCTGCTCTTAGCACTCAGCGCTCTCCTCCTCCCCACTCCATTTTGCTCTGCCCTCAGTGTTAACAGCCTTGTTTCTGTTTTTCCTTTGTCCCGCTCTCCAGCACTTAGCCTTTTCTGGAACATTCACTCAGCAGCTCTGCTGATGGCTCAGCTGTGGAAGCTGCTGTGGTAGGCTGGGCCTTTTTCCCCAGAGGGCCCGTCCTGCTGCTGCTGCCAGCACCTGGCCGCTCACAACAAAAGTTTTGAGGAGAAAATGAAATAAGATTTTAAAAGTTCTCTAAGTCATTTCAGTGTGATGACAGTTGTTAGTCTAGGAAAAAACTGTAGTAGAAGTTAATTCTGGAATAGAGGCATGAAATGTAAAACAAGTTGAAAACTACTGACACAGTACTTCCTACTTAGTGAAATCATTGAGACTTTTCATCCCAATTTAGGACAATTTGTACTCAAAATCTAAATATTCAAGTCTGCAGGGTTTCCTGTGAAGTGTTAGCAAATAAGAGACAAAAATTCTCACAATGCACAAGATAAAGAAATGGCCAGAAATGCATGATGAAGAGGCAAGTATTCAGTGCGATGCTGCTCAATGCTCTGCATCCACTGGAGTTGTTTGTTTTTTTTTTCTCCTCCATCTCTGCTTCCTTTGTAGTAGAGCTACAGATTCCCCTATTTGTTAGAAGTAAAAGAAGCTGCAGGTTATCACATAGCATGCATCATCATCACTTCTTGGCTAATCACCTTAGACAATTAATTTCAAGCTCTTTCAAATATTATGAGCTTGGTAGAAGATCAGGAGCATCTCAGGAAGCTGTTTTTTAAAATTGTGGAACTTTACTCTTTTTTTTTTTCTTTCCAGTAGGTTTGCAGCAAAATCAGCCAAATTATATTAGTTATGCTTTAAATTCCAATTTCCACAGTTCTTTCGTTCTGTATCTCCCTCCTTTTTTCATCTCAACACCTCACTTCCTTAGATTTTTAGTGTAACGAATCTCAAACTCCAGTGAATAAAGTGAAATAGAAAAAGAGGAAGCTATCATGAGCTTCTGAATTTGTGTTTCCCAGGTTCAGAAAGTTTTGTGGGGTTTGATGATATTCCAGCCATTTCTGTAGTTATTAGCTGCTGTTGATGCTCTATGCAGTCTTCCTTATTTTGTCCATCAATAATCATTGACCCTGGAAATAAAGAGTGGTGAAAATGAGAAAATGAACAAACAAAAAAACCTGATAATGTAAATGGGTTCTGCTTTCTTACAATGGTTTAAAAACACTGATGCCATTGCATCTGAAAGCTTCTAGTAAGCGCACAAATAGGCCCTATCATATTGTTACATTAATATTTGTTCAAAATTAGAACAAAATAGCTACTTTCAAAAGCAGATTTTTTTTTTATTTTTTAGTATTTTTATTTTTATTTTTTTTTATTTTTTTGCTGCACTCTAGTCCCCCCAGAGGTATTTGGGAAATGGTTCTTTGGTTTTCTCTGTTTTATTGTGAAAATACATTTCAAAGTTCTGTTTGCAGATAACTGAATATCTTACGTATGCATTTACACAAAATATCCAAATGACTGTTTCAGAAGTGAAATACACAGTCTCACTAGTATTACTTTTCCAGGGAAAGCTCATTGCCACACTGCAGAAACCACAATCTGCTGTCCTCGTACTAAGATCGTATGGGTGCTGAACTAGAGGATGACACATCCCATCTTGTGGCTCGATGTGTCCACTACCAGGTCAGTGCTGTAGTGAAAGTCTGTGTAATCTATTTGTTGGCCTGTCTCATGTGGTGTCTTCTATTTGTGTGTTTTCTGTTGTAGAACCTTCGAAAAAGCCATCTTTTCGGTTGTGGTTTTGTGTGTTTTCCTCAACTGAAAAAAAAAAAAAAAAAAAAGAACAGGTAGTAACACAGTCAAAATCTGCCTCTAGCTGTTACACTTCCACAGGTTATAGTGTGCCTCCACATTTTACAGACATTTCTGAAAGTTCAGCCTTTATGATACAAGTCATGCTGTCCCACAGTACGGCTTTTTGGGTATCAGCATGAGTGCTTCTCAAACCATTCTGTACGAGCTTGCCAAGGATTTCCAGTGTGTTGTGTCATTTTCATGGATTACTTTCTCCCAGGTATTGTATTTGAAAGACAGGAGTTAAAGTTTTTTTTTAGTATACTAATGTATTTTAACCTTAAATTGAAAAGACCTGCACTCCAAAAAAAGCAGCCCCACAGTTTCGCTATAAGTTTTGCTTGTTTGTTTACAGTAATATATAAAAGAGCTTGTGATAAAGGTATTTAAGTAGTACAATTTTCTCCCCTATAAGTTATGCGTATGCTATTGAAGATTCCAAACAGCAAGCGTTAGCCTAGATGTTTCTTACAATTACACCATTGTAAATATTGCATCACTCAATTTAAAGATCTTCTGTTGATCACAATGAATTTTGCAGTGCTTGACAGCAAATGTTAATGACAAAACTGTCAAACTGTGAGAGGTCTGTAACAAAATTTCACTGGCAATATTTATGGAGGTTTAAAGCTTCATGATGAATTGAAATATCAGAAACCTTATTTTTCTTGTAAAGAATCTGTCATGGAGGTTCATTTACATTAAGGCTGTAATGTCTTTTCCATATAATGAGTTTAGTTTGATAACAGTTGCTTAGCCAAACATTATTTGTGAGAAAGCAAACAATATTTATAAGGTGTGAGAGAAAACGTTTTCTTTCTCTCTGGGGAAAACTTGAATCAACAGTTTTGGAAGTGGTTTTACATATCATATTTTACTGTCCCTGTTGTTTCCCAAGATCTGCGTACTTACTTCTAAATTAAAGTAGCTTAAAATAAATCTGCAATCTTCTTTGGACCAGAAGAACCTCATAAAAATGATCTTGCTTTGCTTCATTACAACACCTGTTTGCGGTGAGATGGGATCTTACCTATTTCTGTAATAAAATGCCATGCTAGAGCTGTGCTCTTAATTATCCTGTTAAATAATGGGACACATTTAAAACCTTTCCACTCCATCTCCCATTTCTCATTAGTGTCACTTATGAGTTATTTGTCTGCCAGTTTTTGCTTTTCCACACACATAAAAAAAATTGTGTTAAATGCATGTTTTGATATAAGATGAATGAGTAGTTAATAGTCCCTCTTGTTTCAGAATTTACTCTTTAATAGCAGAAAAAAAATGCCAGGTGTTTTACTGAAAGTCAGTAGAGTCATAAGCAATGTAGGTATCAATGTTTCAATGTGTTTTATTGTTGGGGGCAAAAAAGTTTTAATAATGTAATTTTAATAATTAAGCAGGAACAGTTAGATAATGGTTTTCTAAATCTTCTTTTTCGCTTGGCACGTTGAACAAGTGAGGTATTTTTCAGTTGTGGTAGCTTTACATGTACGCTGCCTATCAGATATAGTATTTGTTGAGTATCACAGCTTGTAACGTCTGAATTTGTAAGCTTGTAGTACCAAGTAGGTCATGAAGAGATTTAAAAACTATTAAAAATTTTGCTAGTAAGTGTTTTTCGTATTGAAAAAAATTACTGAACATCTAAAAAGCTCTTGGAAGTGTTCATGGAGCTAAATACTTGGAAGGAGTTATTGGTTGAAAGTGTCAATTTAATGTTAGTAACATTATTTGAAATTGACAATAGTGCACATCACTGATCATTAATCATTACTGGGTATTAAAATAAATCTACCTATCAAGTAGAACACTTGAAATGCCTGATACTAAATGACTAGAATAAATTGTTAAATGGAATTCCATTAAAAAAAAAAAAAAAAAAAAAAAAACCTAATTTACTTTAATAGGCCTTACATTTTGCTTGAGAGTAAAAACTAGCTTCTATGGATTGTCCAAACACGTGTTTTAATTGCCTGATAGAGAAGGAAGGAAGAGATTTTCGGAGTGTTTTTCATCTCATAAAGCATAAAGTAAATTATTGACTATCCCAAGTTAATATTAATAGAGACAGGCCAATGGCAAGGAGAAAAAGCACAAATACATCATTCTGACTCAGCTTAAATGAAAATCTGAAGTTAATCAGTGGCACTGTTACACTAGCATAATGGTTGTTGGGGATGCACAGTACAGAGCACAAATAGCTTGTATGGGCCGCTCCACTACCAGCCTTTGTCCCATGTCAGAAACTATTTAGCCACAGTCTAGACAACCAGCTCTCTTTGTAACCCATCTTGCACTTAGCACATTTAGTGGGCAGTTCTGGGCTTGCTGTGGGAAATGCAGCTGATTTTTGGGTACACAAAATCAGATGTCCCTGAAAGAGAGGCTGATGAGTCATGCTTAAGACGGTGTCAGGCTTTAGGCTGCTGACTTCCTTTCTGTAGTTCAAACAAGATAATACCATTTTTCACCAGCAGCACTGGTACAAAATTCAATTTCCTGTATGTTGTTAAAGGGCTCTGTTACTTAATATAATTTCTATCATTTTGTTCTGCATAAAATATAGTTTCAAGTTATGCAGAAGCCAGAATTTTTGTATGAATCCTTTTAATAAAAAAAAAAAAAAGAGAGAGAGAAAGGAGAAAAAACAATGAAAAGGAAGAGAGATGGAAAAGCGAGAGAGGAAGCAGTACAAAAGTAAGGTCAGGGAGGAGTAAAGAAGAGCAATAAATGATGGAATTGCCAGAAGGTGAATGGCCTTTAAGAATTAATGGCTTTTGCTTCATCTTTGGTCATTCAGCCTTTCTCCAAATATGAGAAAAAATACCCTCATGACATGCTAAATCAGTGCAGGTGAGAGGAAAATGGAAACTTATTTTCTTTTAAGCCAAGAGAATATTTTAATTCTGCAGACAGGAGAAGATAGAACTGTGCAGTGTCGAAAAGGGTATAGTCAAAAAATGCAGAGTTGGAAGGCTCAATCACTGGATGAAATTTGACATACATAAACAGACCTTAGCAGGAGTGCTGTGTGATTATCTCATCATTCTCCTTTGCCTCTTTTTCTAACAAAGAACAAACGTAAGGTAGGCCTTAAAGAACACCCGGTTTGTCCAAAGTCAATAGATAACAAGGCTGGACCTTTACAGATCATGAAACTGATTAATATCCTCTAAGAGACTTTGTGCGTGAGGTTCCCTGGGGAGAAATAACTGATTTTTAATCAATTTTTGACAGGTCCTTACTTTGTACAAGGTTATTCAGAAGGGGTCAAAGACAGATTAGCTGCACAGTCATCTCTACAGGGATGTGTGGGGATAAGAAGGACATGAAAAAAAAATTGTTTTTCTGGAAAATACAAGTAATTTTTGATCTTTGGAGCTTGGTTCAAATGAATGCCATGTAGCTTCATTGTTATGGATTAGAGACTCTTTCAGGTATCTTAGTTAATTCCAAGCCCACAAAATTTTTGCACCCAAAGTTTTGGTTTGAATCTGTATAGATAAACCAATATGCATCTGGCAGGTTAGCAGGAATTGTTCATCTTACTCTTGAAATCATAGCATGCCTTTAACCCGAACTCTAGCACTGACCTGTACCAAGTAGCATTCTCCAAGTGAATTTCTTTATATAATCAGGGAAATTTGCACAGGCCAGAGTCATTCCCAAAATGACTAATGACAACAACCAATGACATTTGGTCATGCAGCTAGGAGAAGCAGGGGGAAAGACTTTTATGAACAGTCCATGCAGTTTGGCCTCAGGGCTATGCAACACTTCCTGGCACTTGATAATTTACAGGAATAGATGTTGCAAAAGGAACCTTCTCCTGGTTACACTGAAAGCTCATTAATTATCATCAGCATAATTAATGTTGAAAAACAAAAAGCACAACAGAGATGTTCTTAAATGGAGAAGGTGATTTAACATCTGTCTGGTTCAAAGAAATACCTGTAAATTTTACAAGTGTGAGTAGAGCAACTAATGTAGATAAAACAGTAAGATCCTTATTTGGTCTTTGAAATTAATGCTGGGAAAAGACAGCAATGTAACCTTCTGTAAAACTGACAAATATTAGATTAGCATCAGACTATGAATTCTTATGATTATCACTTGTCTACTTACTGAATATAAGATAACTAGAACTAATTAGGAATATAAAAGAAAAGAAAGATAAGTGTATACAAACATAAATAGACTTCTAATATCTGCTTGTAATATGCTGTTATTTTTAGGGTAGGATTTCTATACAAAAGCACTGATAAAGCTATCTGCTGTAAGCAGTAGATCTGATCTGTAGTTATCTTATTATATCTTACTATATATCTAAAAAGATACAGTAAGTAAATCAGAAAACAAAATGCTATAGTTCTGAAGATGCAAACTGATAGTGCAGTACACTATGAAAACATTTTTATGTTGGAACTTATCCTACAGATTTGTGCTTTCAGATTGCTGAAATTTAGTAGAGCACTAAGGTTAGAAAGAAGAAATTATGCAGAATTTCTTAAGAAATTGGTTTGGATGCTTTAGTATCTCCACTTGTCTGACAGCAAGTATTCTTAATGAAAGGGATTGTTTATGTTGATACAAATTTATTCCATTAAGCAGTGAGGTTTTGAGTTGTTTGTTTTTCTGTGGTGTTAATAAAGGCATAAACTCACAAACACAAGACATTTCATCTTAAAACAGTATAGGAACAAATAGAAATGTTGGAAGCACCTTAGAAGTAGGGTTTTTTTTCTAATGAAAATAAGAAAAAAATCTGAAATAACTTCTGAATGCATTAAATAATCCATGCAATATTTATCTGTGTATTAATAATACAG